AAAAAAGGAGGGCATTCATAAGAATTGTAATGATCAGATAGGTTTCAAATAATAGAGAGGGATAGGTTGAAATGTCAGTGGAAATGATCAATGGAGCAAGATTCTACACCAGAACAGACAGAAGGAGTATGAAAATGCACATCTCTTCCTTAGAAACTGGAGGAGAGGAAGAACAGGTGTATGTGTGCAAAGGTCATTTTTTTTTTTAGAAACAGAAAGTCAAAGAGTTTACACTTTTTTTTTCATGTTTTATTTTTTATATTTTTACAAAATTTTATACTGATTTAGTTACAAAGTTTAAATATTTTTTTTCACAAAAGATCCTTCCTATTTCCTTCACTCCCACCCACCCATCAAATTGTACAACTCTATGATTAACACCCTACCTCCCCCCATTCTCACCCCTCTATTTCCACCCTTCTCTCCACCTTGGATCCTCATATTCATTCCGCGATAATGGTCTTATACAATATTTGCCCTTGTGGGACTGAGTTAGTTCACTCAGCATACAGCATTTGTCCTTGTAGGACTAAGTTCACTCAGCATAATGCTCTTCAGTCCCTCTCAAATTAGGTAATCTTTTACTAAATTGTTGCTCCTGCATGCTACATAGTATTCCACTGTATGAATGTACCACAACTTCCTAATCCACTCAATTGTGGCTGGACATCTGGGCTGTTTCCATGTTCTTGCGATGGTGAATAATGCTGCTGTGAACCTTATGTACAAGTTTCCATCTAAGTCTTTTGAGAGTAAAACCCAAAACCATAAAGTTTATATAAGACAAACTGGGATCAAGCTTAGAAAGCCTGCTCTAAAAAGTCTATTATAAAGAAACTTCCAAATACAGCTACAGAAATGCACAATCTGAAGAGGATAAAATTGATGAATGGGACCTTCTAAAGATTAAATCTCTGTATGCCTAAAAAATGTTTTCCAGGATGAAAAGAAAACCTGCAAACATTGGGCAATACCATCTCAGACAAGAGTCTTATAACAAAAGCTTATAGAATACTTTTAGGCTTCCACAAGGAAAAGACTGATAACCTAATTACAAAATGAGCAAAAGACATGGAGAGAATTTTCACAGAGGAAGATCTCCAAATCACTGGCAATAAGATAGTAGTCAATTACAGGAAACTTCACTTTTTTAAAAAGTCTGAAAGTGAATAGAATGGAAGATAGGGTTTGAAGAGGTTTTAATATTATGATAGTCTTCACAGAAGAAAAGTTCAACAAGTCTTGTTGTACTTGTGTATGTCTGGGTGTGTGTATATTAAGTGTGTTTCAGAGAGAAGAGCGCACCACTGTATCTCACCAACTCAGCTATGTTACAGAATTAGTTTTGAAACTGCATTAAGCTGAAAAGCACCATAAAAACATTAGCATCCATTATGTATAAATTCTCATTTGTGGAATGTGAGCAACACTGTTCTAAAGTTCCCTGCCACTTAAAATTCCATTTACTGTTTTAGATTAGTACAGTGTCAATCCATTTTATCTTCAGGGTTTCTTCCTCTCCTTGAAGCCACTAAATTTCTTAACAGCTTGGGAAGATGCAGTCCCCTGGACAAATAGAAATCAGCAGCTGCTACCTGGAAAGTCAGGCAGAGTTAAATGGCAAAATTGTGATAAGCTGACTTTTGTGGCTAGCAAGCTTCCTCATATGCCTGCAAGCTATGAGGACACAGTACTGACTTTGAGGATTAGCTTGATTTTTCCTTCTGGCTCTGGGATCTGTTGTTAATTTGGTGAAACACATATTTCTCCTGGGAAAGAATCCAGGTAAGGCTTAGGTCAAGCTATAAACCCAAGCCTTTTATCACACTCTGACAGCTAGAAGGCTATGTCTGGAAAATGTCATTGACAGGGGCTGGGGAATGCAAAAAAAAAAAAAAAGAAAGCACCAAAAAACAAACAAACTTTTAAAAAAAAAATGTTCCTTTGCTTACCACTAATTTCTTCAGTCTCATTGTTGTATAATTTTTCAATATATCCATGTAGATTTAGTAACATTAATCAGATTATGAGCGTGTTGAGAATCAACAAATGATGGTCACTCTGGGGGTTTAGTGATTCTATAAATTTCCAAAGTGTGAGAGATGAAGCTTCACTAT